CTTCGGGCGCTCTGCTATCCGGGTTTTGCACTTCACAGGTTAGAATCAGGTGGATCTGGGTTCTGCGTACTTGTTAGATTTGCAATAGATCCGCCACCGCTCTTGCAGCGGTAGGTGTGTGTGTGTGTGTCGGCCCCCTCGTTCATTGCGAACCAATACGGTGGGGGCATTGGATAAGGAACCCTTAGATAAGGAATCCGGGGTCTGGAGGCCGGTGGAACTCCAACTGATGTCCGGCCATGGACATCACCGTCACCCCCATCAGAGAAGGAATCCTCCAGGGTCTGAAACCTCCTGCGCACATTCCCCACCGTAGTTGGGCCCCTCCGACGCATCGAGCCCAAGGTGCGCTCATTTTTGCGACCAAGTCCCTGCGTCGTTGGCCTTCCAGGCAGAGAACGTGCCCCTCCCCCACGGCGCCCGCCCGCCCCCCACCCCCCCTCGGGCGCTTGCCGAAGCGCGGTGGCGGAATCGCGCGGCAGCGCCACTGGACTTCAGTAGGAGTAAACTTGGAATCAGCTGGATCTGGGATCCGCTCCACTCCAATTAGATTGCAACTGAATCCCAATAAGACTCTTATGGGAATGAGCTGGATCTGGGATCTGCTCAATTCTAGTTCGATTCTGATTTGGTTTCAATCGGAATATACTTGGAATCGGCTGGATTTGGGATGTGCACAGTCTCGAATAAATTCTGTATCGATTCCCGTAGGAATCAAATCTGGATCAGCTGGATCTGGGACCTGCTCAATTCGAATTAACTTCTACTACGCTACAGCGAGAATCGAATTGGAATCATCTGAATCTGGGATCCGCCCTACCATACTTACATTTCAAAGGTATTCCAATCGGAATATAATTATAATCAGCTGGATCTCGAATCTGCCTCTCTGTCTCCCGCTGTCTGTCTGTTTCTCTCTCTCTCTCTCTCTCTCTTGCCTCTCTCCTTCTCTCTCTTTCTATTTCCCCTCTCTCTCTCAGACGCCCAACACAATCCATCTGAAAACACAAGGTTTGCGATGCCACGGGTGCCGGAACCCTGTTTTTACACTTGGATGATTGGGATGTCTACCATGAGTAATGAGGAAACCATGTGTTCCATTTGAATGTTTGTACTGCCGGTATGAAAGGTGAGGAAGCAAGGCGTTTTCATTCAATCGGTTTGTTGTTTGGGATTTAGGGGATCAGAGCTCCTGGGAGGACTCCTGGGTTTGATTTTCGTTGGAGGGGTGAATCCCCTAAATCCTCCAAACATCAAAATGAAAACGCATGGATCCCTCACTTCTCATCCCAGAAATCACATGCATCCACATGAAAACACAAGGCTTACGCACGCCTGACATCGCAAATCTTTTGTTTTCACAAGGATTGTGTTGGGTGTCTGGAAGAGGGCGGGAGAGAGAGAGAGAGAGAAAGACACAGAGAGAGAGAGAAAGCATCAACACAAACAGACAAAAAGCGAGAGAAAGAGAGAGAGAGAGAGAAATAGAGACATCGACACATTTATAAATATATATACATACAGAGTGGGAGAGAGAAAAAGAGAGAGAGAGAGAGAGATATATAAGCAGAGAGAGAGAGAGAGAAAGATGAGGAGGAGGAAAGGAACAGCACCGCCGTCGTAAGTGAACGCTGGTCAAGAAGGGTGCTGGGGGGCTGCCCGCACATATTCATACATGTATATATATATATATATATCTATATACACAGAAAAACTGTATTGGCGCTTCGCGCCATGCAGCTTGATCCCTCAAGCCTTGCATCTGTTGGCACTTAATTCCATCCCCTTTGGCCTTTGAACTTTGGCCGTTTCCCGTCCAGTCCCCTCGCCCGTTGCTATTTGCTCTTGCCCTCGCTGTACAAAGCCGTGCGTCACCCGAACTTGTCTTGCGGTGCGTTTTGATTCGAATCTCGAGGCGGACCCAATCACGTGGCGCGAGAACGCCACCTGGAGTCTCCGAAAGAACGTCAAACCAAAATCGCGTGCCTTCTTCGAGTGATCCTGCGCCAGCTGGTGTCGTAGCGGCCTTCGCGTCGATTTTTGACACCGCTTGGATCGTTCAGCCGTGAACGATCGCATATTCCCGTTCAACGCAAGCCGAGTCCTGACCACTGGCCGTGCTCGTTCCGAACGCCCGCGCCGGGGTCGCCGCCGCGTCGACACAACGCAAACCGACCGCTGTGGAGGAACAATTGTTTCTGGGGGGTCGTTATCTTACCCCGGCATCTGTTTTGGATCAGGAACGATGAGGAACGATGAGGCGTTACTTTCCGTTGCCTTGCATTGCTCGCATCACCTAGGCTTACCAGCAGAATTTTCACTGCTGGAGTGCCACACCTCACTGTTCGGGGTCTGCGATGCCTCACATTTTCGTTGGTTTTATACCGTTAGGAGCCGCTGGAAGTCGCCAGGCTTCTGCAATCCTCGGGAGTTTTTGTTCGACGTCGGCCCGCAGGTCGTTTTGCCGAGGCTCCTCGTTGGAGAACCTATTGGGGGGCTCACGAATGCCTCCCAAGGGCTTTGGGGACTTGGACGCTGCTACGACACAAATAGCGAAGATGCTAAACTTCCACGTCTTCCTTCGGGAATGGGACGATGCTTGCCTCTTGGGAGCTCTCCTGAAGGCCTCTTGGGGCGCCTTTGGGGCCTCTTGGGCCGTCTTGGGGCCTCTTGGGCCGTCTGGATGCCGTCTTGTGCTGCCGTCCGGCTCTCGTGGAAAGCTGGGGGCCTCTTGAGGACCTCCCATGGCCCTCGTGGGTCTCTCTTGGGAGCCTTTGGGGGCCGCGTGAGCTTCTTCTGGGCCGTCTTGGGACAGTCTTGGGGTCCTCTTGGCCCAGCTCGAAGCCCTCTTGGGGGCCTCTTCGGCCACCTTGGGGTGATTGCGCAGGCTTCTTGGGCCGTCTTGGACGCTGCTACGACACAAAAAGCGAAGATGCTAAACTTCTACGTCTTCCATCGGGAATGGGACGATGCTTGCCTCTTGGGGGCTCTCCTGAAGGCCTCTTGGGGCGTCTTTGAGGCCTCTTCGGCCGTCTTGGAGGCCTCTTGGGCCGTCTGGAGGCCGGTCTGCGCTGCCGTGGGGCTCTCTTCTTGAAAATTAGGGCCCTCTTGGGGACCTCCTATGGCCCTCGTGGGTCTCTCTTGGGAGCCTTTGGGGGCCTCGTGAGCTTCTTTTGGGTGGTCTTGTCCTCTTGGCCCAGCTTGAAGCCCTCTTTGGGGGCCTCTTCGGCCGCCTTGGGGCGATCTCGCAGGCTTCTTGGGCCGTCTTGGACGCTGCTACGACACAAATAGCGAAGATGCTAAACTTCCACGTCTTCCTTCGGGAATGGGACGATGTTTGCCTCTTGGGAGCTCTCCTGAAGGCCTCTTGGGGCGCCTTTGGGGCCTCTTTGGCCGTCTTGGGGCCTCTTGGGCCGTCTGGAGGCCGTCTTGTGCTGCCGTCAGGCTCTCCTGGAAAATTAGGGCCCTCTTGGGGACCTCCCATGGCCCTCGTGGGTCTCTCTTGGGAGCCTTTGGGGGCCTCGTGAGCTTCTTTTGGGCGGTCTTGGGGCAGTCTTGGGGTCCTCTTGGCCCGGCTTGAAGCTCTCTTTGGGGGCCTCTTCGGCCGCCTTGGGGCGATCTCGCAGGCTTCTTGGGCCGTCTTGGACGCTGCTACGACACAAAAAGCGAAGATGCTAAACTTCCACGTCTTCCGTAGGGAATGGGACCATGCTTGCCTCTTGGGGGCTCTCCTGAAGGCCTCTTGGGGCGTCTTTGGGGCCTCTTGGGCCGTCTTGGAGGTCTCTTGGGCCGTCTGGAGGCCGTCTTGTGCTGCCGTCAGGCTCTCCTGGAAAATTAGGGCCCTCTTGGGGACCTCCCATGGCCCTCGTGGGTCTCTCTTGGGAGCCTTTGGGGGCCTCGTGAGCTTCTTTTGGGCGGTCTTGGGGCAGTCTTGGGGTCCTCTTGGCCCGGCTTGAAGCTCTCTTTGGGGGCCTCTTCGGCCGCCTCGGGGCGATCTCGCAGGCTTCTTGGGCCGTCTTGGACGCTGCTACGACACAAAAAGCGAAGATGCTAAACTTCCACGTCTTCCGTAGGGAATGGGACCATGCTTGCCTCTTGGGGGCTCTCCTGAAGGCCTCTTGGGGCGTCTTTGGGGCCTCTTGGGCCGTCTTGGAGGCCTCTTGGGCCGTCTGGAGGCCGTCTTGTGCTGCCGTCAGGCTCTCCTGGAAAATTAGGGCCCTCTTGGGGACCTCCCATGGCCCTCGTGGGTCTCTCTTGGGAGCCTTTGGGGGCCTCGTTAGCTTCTTTTGGGCGGTCTTGGGGCAGTCTTGGGGTCCTCTTGGCCCGGCTTGAAGCTCTCTTTGGGGGCCTCTTCGGCCGCCTTGGGGCGATCTCGCAGGCTTCTTGGGCCGTCTTGGACGCTGCTACGACACAAAAAGCGGAGATGCTAAACTTCCACGTCTTCCGTAGGGAATGGGACCATGCTTGCCTCTTGGGGGCTCTCCTGAAGGCCTCTTGGGGCGTCTTTGGGGCCTCTTGGGCCGTCTTGGAGGCCTCTTGGGCCGTCTGGAGGCCGTCTTGTGCTGCCGTCAGGCTCTCCTGGAAAATTAGGGCCCTCTTGGGGACCTCCCATGGCCCTCGTGGGTCTCTCTTGGGAGCCTTTGGGGGCCTCGTGAGCTTCTTTTGGGCGATCTTGGGGCAGTCTTGGGGTCCTCTTGGCCCGGCTTGAAGCTCTCTTTGGGGGCCTCTTCGGCCGCCTTGGGGCGATCTCGCAGGCTTCTTGGGCCGTCTTGGACGCTGCTACGACACAAAAAGCGAAGATGCTAAACTTCCACGTCTTCCGTAGGGAATGGGACGATGCTTGCCTCTTGGGGGCTCTCCTGAAGGCCTCTTGGGGCGCCTTTGGGGCCTCTTGGGCCGTCTTGGGGGCCTCTTGGGCCGTCTGGAGGCCATTCTGTGCTGCCGTGGGGCTCTCCTGGAAAATGAGGGCCCTCTTGAGGACCTCCTATGGCCCTCGCGTTGTTTTTTTGTTTTTCCTCCCGGGCCCCGACAAGTCAACCGTTCTGCAACATTCGAATTCGAAGGTCAAACATTTGACCCAAGCACGCGTCCTTGCGGCACCGTGCTGCGCGGTCTTTCTCTAGGCCTGCGGCCCCTCAGCGAGGGGCAGAAGAGGACGAGGAGTAGTAGCAGCAGAAGGATTACAGTCAGGAGGAACCGCTCGCCACGATGTGCGGTTGCTCCTTCGTCTGCCTGAGCGCGTGGAGTACACGCTCATACCAGGGTTTCAAATGGCGCTCTCGTGCTCGCCGGCCGACTGCGATCAGATGACCAGCCTGTCGGTCAGTTTCGCCAGCACGTCTCCGCTGCACCGTGGCAACTCACTGCACAAAGCTTCAGCAGTAACCGGTGCCGTGGATTGGACGCGGAGGCAAAGACCTAAAGTTACACATGCTTTCACGGGCGGGAGGGAGGAGGTCTGTAGGAGTAGGAGGGGGGCGACGACTGGGACGAGGATGTGGATGAAAAAAGGTAGGAGGCGAGGGGAACAGAGAGGGGCGTGTAGCAGATCGGCCACGAAGCACACTTTCAGGCAGCGCGTGGCTCGGCGTTCGTCGAGAGTACCAGCCTGGCACTTCTGGCGGCAGCAGGGGTGAAACTGAAGCAACGCCTGCATGATGCAGCGAACAGGAATTGAGGCAGGGAGTCAGCTCAGATCATTCGACTATCGTGAGGATCGGGTAGGGGCTCAGATCGGGATCAGGAAAGATCAGGCTCATCGGGAGGTACGATCGGGCGGGCGACCCCCTCACCAGGCGGGGCATGGTGTCCCTGATGCTGTTCGAGCCGATCAATCCTTGCGAGCAGGGAGGCCTTGAGGTCTGCATCTCTGGCCCTCTGATCTGCATCTCTGGCCGCCATCTGCGCTTCGAGCTGTTGCATGATCGCTGCCAGCTGCCCCTCCTTGCCGCCGCCTGGCTCCTCTGCCTCAGGGCGTCGCTCCTCATCGGCTTTCGCCCCGGTGAGCTTCTCGAGGACTTCAAGGTAGGCGTCAAAAAAAACTTGGCACTCTGACATTCCATCAGATCCATCCCCATCCTGGCGGAAAGCGCCGCTTCTGTGGATGTCTTCTGCGGTCACCCTGTCGGGCAGTTCCATCAAATGCTCGATAAGGAGCGCCCTCTTTGGCCAACCACGCCTGTTGTACATGTACTGGACCCTGCCAAACTTGAACAGGTCGGTTAGGAATCCATTCGCCGCGCAGCATTCACTGCTCCCCTTCACCACGGCATACCCATCCACAACAATTGCAAGCAAGAAGTTGAGGAGCACTAGGAAGACCAAAGCCAGCATGGCGGACTCCCACACAACCAAGAGCACAATATCGGCCGTCTCGTGTAACTCGGACTCGAGCGCCATGAAATCAAAATTGCCAAGGGCGAGGTTGCCACTCAGGACCAACGTCTTGGACACAGAAGAGAAGTCGTCGACCTGCTCTCCGAACGCCCAATGGCCTAGCATAACCAACATCAGAAAAACAACTACGAAGATGCCGATCCAGTTGATCAGCTGGGAGACGATCAATGACAAGGTGTTTGGGATCACGCCTAACTGAGGGTGCACGCTCATGTAATCTACAATCTGCAGGAAAGATACGAAAACTATCACAAAGCCCGTTACCCGCAGAGATTGGAAAGACTGGGCACGGTCAACCAATGCGTTTTGATTCGACATGAAATTCATGGCAGCCTCCTCGCTTGCGTAAGGGTTGATTGATAAGACTTTTTCAACCAATGGCCACAGGTCTCCCCCATCCATCTCCTGTGCAAGTCTTGTGATGTAGAAAACCATGAACACGATCTGCAGAAGAAACCCACATGAAATTGCGATTTTCTCAGAGTTGGTGCACGTCGATGCACGGGGATACAGCCTCCGTTCGCGGGTTTCGATTGCCACCCGGCGTAGAATCAAGATGAGCTGCAGCACGCCCAAACCCACCTGCACTAATGTCAAAGAAATCCAAGCAGTGTACCGATCAGTGCTCTGGAGTTCTTGGAAGCTTTCAACATGGAATGAGGGAGTGAATTTTCCCGACCTCTCAATGTGCCACTCGACCAGAATCCGAGTGAAAAGTTCGTAGCTGGGAGTGTACAGAAAGACTTGTGCTCTTACCCTGTCGGTCTGCACATCATGCCATGTATCCGCTGACCTTTCACAACGCTCGTCGACATCACTCACAGTCACTTTCTCCCCGTGCCTGTCAATATTCCCGTCGTCGTCAAGAGACCACTCGATCTGATTATGTTCATTACGCTTGCTCGTCATGAAGCACCTAGGGTGAGTTGTCAGGTTGACAGCATTGGCATAAACATTGTAGCCCATGTAAGCCAGAATGTCAACTTTGTCCGCGTGAAAATCGCCGAAAAAAGTTCTGTCGCCGTCCACAAGCGCTACATTATTGAACTTAGTTTTTAAAACATTGCGCATCGTTCGGTTCCGCACTGCACTACTCGTGCAAGTCAGTAAAACCGAGCGCCCTGCATTCGGGCTCGTATACTGTGACTCTGGTGGTGGTGGGTTCGACGGACCAGACGGCTGTTCGCTTGACCGGATGCCGATGGGCTCGTATGGCACATCCTCTGCACGCCTGAAGACGACACTCGTGGGCTGCCATGCCCCAGTGATTGCGTCGCCTCTGTATTTAAACCGCAAATGCCTTGCCAAACTGTAGATCCGATCGTACATTGTCGCGAAACCTGTGCAATCTCTAATCTCTCGCCGCGTCATCCAAATTTGTGGCCTGACGACGACTGCAGTCACTGCCGTAAACCGCTTGAGCTTGGTCAAATAAACCATCTCTGTCTCGGTCGTGAAAACTGGCGTGTCGTATTCACGTTCGACATACTTGTCCACGTCGAGCGGATCGAAACGTTCTGCTGCCTCCAAGAACTCGTACAAAAAGCTATACATCCCCTGGAAGTTGTTCACCTCGTTGACATTATCAAGGTTGAAGTGGAACCGAAAGTTTTCCTTGATTTCATTCATGGCGCCCACAGGCCGCTCCATCGCCAGATTGAACAGGAACAGAGTGATGATCACCAGAAAATTCATTGCCTGTGGGAGCATCTTGCGCATTCTCAATTCTAGATACAATCGGTCACGCCAAAGACTGTTGGGCAGCGCGTTCGCCTTCATTGCAGTCCGCGTGGCGCTACTGATTGCACCGGGCGACGGGGCGACCCTGCTCATACTGTTCGCCGCCTTGAAATGCAAGGCTTACCATTCGCGCCACAAGTTCTTGAGCCAACAGACCCTCGTGGGTCTCTCTTGGGAGCCTTTGGGGGCCTCGTGAGCTTCTTTTGGGCGATCTTGGGGCAATCTTGGGATCCTCTTTGCCCGGCTTGAAGCCCTCTTGGGTGTCTCTTGGGCCGCCTTAGGGCGATCTCGCAGGCGTCTTGGGCCGTCTTGGACGCTGCTACGACACAAAAAGCGAAGATGCTAAAACAACGCGCTTTCCTGAGGCCGTGAAGCGATGTTTGCCTCTTGGGGGCTCTCCTAAAAGCGTCTTGGGGCGTCTTTGGGCCTCATGGGCCATCCTGACACCGTCTTGCGCTGCCGTGGGGCTCTCCTGCGCCTCTCCGACCACTTCGCTGATCGCTTTGAGCTTGCTGGCAAGGCCCGGCAAGGCGCCCTGGGAGGCGCGGCAGGGCTGGGGGGGCCTCTTCCAAGGGCGCCCAGGGGGCCCCGAAGCTCCAGACCCCCGGGGTCCAGATTTTTGTTGGGGAGGTTGTCCCTGCCCCCCGGCTGATAAAACATAAAGAGGAGTTCACATATATGTAGATATCCATACATCCATCCATCCATCCATCCTGCCATCCATCCATCCATCCATCCATCCATCCATACATACATACAAATATATATATGCATACCAACATACATGCATGCATACATACATACCTACATACATACATGTGTCCACACTCTCATACAGACATACATTCATGCATGTATACAGACCTACACGCATATTTACATAATTTCATGCATGCACGCATGCATATACATACACACATACACACATATATGCATACATACATACATTCATTCATACATACATACATACATACATACATACATGCATACATACATACATACATGCCTGCATGCATACATGCATACATGCATACATGCATACATGCATACATGCATGCATGCATACATGCATACATGCATACATGCATACATGCATGTATGCATACATGTATACATGCATACATGCAGGCATGTATACACATATACACACATATACATATACATTTACATCGACATATACATACACATGTACACACATATACATACACATATGCATATACATATACATAAACATATACACATACGACTACACATACATAGACCTTTGCATGTACATATACATACCTACGTACATAAACATACATAAACATGCGTAAACACACATACATACACATACAAGCCTACATGGGCGCTTCGCGCCATGCACCTTGGTCCAGGCGGAATGGCAGGAAGTTCCAGCCGACAATTCAACGATAGCTTCTTGTTGCCTTTTCTGGCATCGCCGTTATGATAATGTTGTTCGTTATCCTTCCTCCATGTTTCCTTTTCCTCATTCTCGCCGTACCCTGCCTATTCTCCCCCATCCTCCTCAGCTCTTTTTGCGGAGGCTCCTCCTTGGAAAGCCTCTGGGGGCCTCACACAAGTTTTTCAGGCTTCCTTCAGGCCTTCTGGAGGCCTCCTGGGCGTCGTCTGGGGCCCTCTGGGGGCTTCCTCGGGCCGCCCTGCCTCCAACCGCGGTTTCCCTGAACGACCGGGTCACGATTTGGAGTGCTTCGGAGGGTGTCTTGGGGCCATCTTGGGCTGCCTTGGGGCTCTATTAGGCCATCTTGGAACCAGTTGCACCGTCTTGGGGATCTCTTGGGCTGCCTGGAAGCCCTTTCGGATGGTCGTGGGGCGATTTTCGAATCTCCCAGGCGGCTTCGGACGCCCAGAAGACCGCGGCTTGAAGCGTCCGGAAGCCGAAAAGAGGAGAATCCCAAAATTCACCAACAACTCCATGAATTTTGCTTCTTGGGGCCTTCTTGGGAGTGCTCTTGGAAGCCTCTTGGGACGTTTTGAAACGATCTTTGAGGGTATGATGGCTTCTTTGGGGCCGTCGTGGACCGTCTTGGGGCTCTCTGGAATCGTTTCGGGAGCGCGCCAGAACGCCGGGAGCCCTCTGGGGCCGTCTTCGGGCTCTCGTGGGGTTCTCCCGGGTCGTCTGGAGGGTTGCCCGAGAGGCCCGGGGTGGGCCAAATTCGTTAGGGGGTTGGGGGGGCGCTTTTTCTGGGGCCCCCTGCCCTGTAAAAATATATGGATAGGAATATATGTGTGTGCATATATATATATATATATATATACTAGAACCATCGCGCGCGCTTCGCGCGCGCGCTCAAGTTCTAGCTAGCTTCTTGGGGCTTCCTCGGGGCATCCTGGGCTGGTTCTTGAAGTCGTCATGGGACCTTCTTGGCATGTTTTCGGGGGCCGCTTAGAAAGAGTTCTGAAGCCTTTTGGGTGCCGTCTCGGGGCCTCTTGGAGCCTCTTTGGGGCTTCTTGGGGGCCTCTTGGAGCCTCTTTGGGGCCTCTTGGGGCCTCTTGGGGGCCTCTTGGGGCCTCTTGGGGGCTTCCTGGGGGCATCTTGGGGCCTCTTGTGGGCACCTTGGGGCGGAGAGCTAGAGTTTTCAGTTCGCGTTCCCTCTCTTGGGCCCCTCTTGGGGCCTTTTTTTTCAATGTCGCCAAAACCATAGATGGCGAGACATAATGACAAAACCTCTGATAGAGTCTCGGAAGCTCGTCATAAAAAATGTGGGCGCTAAAGCGCTTCCAAAGAAACCTACAATGGGCGCGGTATTAAATGAAAAAGTTACCGCGCTCAAGGAGGTAAGGCCACCACTGGGCGCATAGGTAGAACGACTCCCGTGGAACGATGTTGGGCCGAACACTTCTACGTCGCAGCGCAGCATGAGGCACTGTGCCCGGCCAAAGTAGATGGTGACACATAATGCCAAAACTCTGATAGGGTCGTCATACAATATGTGGGCGCTGCGGCGCTGCGGCGCTGCGGCGCTTGATGCCGGAACGCGCGACTTGACTTTTTCCGTCGGCGTCCGCGGACACCGCCGCGCGCACGACTGAACATCGAAATCATTGAATCGCTTCGTTTATTCCGCCGGGCCATGTTGCATGATCGCTACTGCTTCGCCGTGGGCCCGGGGCCATTGTGGCGCCGCCGAGAGGAGGAGGAGGAAGAAGAGGATGGGGAAGGGGAGGGCAGGAGGAGGAGAGGAGGAGAAGGAGAGGAGTAAGATGATCGTGTTACACGCTAACGAAACAGGGAGCGGGGAGCTGCGCACATAGCCTGGAGGCAAGCAAGGTGCTTCCTGGCATGGGTCTCCCCTTGCGGCCTTCTGGGCGCCACTCGACGCGCTGCCACACCGAATACTGCCCCGGCACGGTGGCGGAAACCTGCCGCAGACAGCTGGGTATCCCACTGGGCGGGCGGGAACCATCTGCCTAAACGGCACCGTGCCTAGACGGCACCAAACCCAACACAGCGGCAAGAACCACAGCCTCACGTCCTAACGCGTGAGGCGCCGAACCTCTGGCATATCGTAACCTTGAATCGTGCTGCAAAAATACGAACCGCGCCTGGACCGCGCACCGTGCCTGGACGGCACATCGCTTGCACATCACAATGGAGGCCAAACTACAAGAAACCTTCCACAAGGAACCAAGCCGCGCAGTGCAGCAGGTGCAGTGGAGTGGTTGGCACAAAACCTTCGGGTCATCCCGAATCCATTCATCCGACAATCTCCAGGGGCAACCATGCGCGCCGTGCGCCTGGCGCGCGAGGCAGGCGGCGTCGTCAATCATTGAGCCGTCGTGCCAGAATTATCCCAGGACCACGTCCGCGACGGCTCCAGATATTCGCGGTGCTGCGACAGTCGTTCGGGCCCGTGGTGCCGCCAGGGCCGCAGCCGACCGAGAGGAGGGCACAGATGACACGACCCAAGCCATCCGAACTTAAGAACATATCCACTGTTTCTCGAAATCCCAGGGCACGACTCCGAAACGCTGGATGTGGACATATTTTCTGGCGGTGGAAAAATGGGGACCTGGCTCCAGGGGGGCTTGAGCAGGGACCGACCGCCCAGGCACCCCCATAGGCCTACCACGACATGCTTCTGGAGCCCAGAACATGCTCGAACGAAAGAAGCTGGGCCCCTAGAACAGCGGCCCGATGCGTGTGAAAACACGGGCGTCGCGACCAGGAAAGCTCTTCTGATAATACCTCGTGCATGCCACATTCGCGGGAAGAGGCGAGGGCCCAACCCTGACCTTCCAGAGAGCTATGTTTATGTTTTTTGGCCCTCCTGGAAAGTCAGGGAAGGAGGGGCAGAGGCTCCGCTCGAGCACCCGCGGCGCGCCGCCGACGGCCCGGCGAGACGGGCCCCGGCAAGCGACGCGAGACCCGCGCGCTCCCGGGCAAGGCACGCCGCTAGAATATGACCAGATCCACTGCCGCTGGGTCGCGTTCCGAGGACTCTCTTGGATCGGCGCTTGGCCCCCTCTCCTCCTCCTCCTCCACCTCCACAGTCCTCCGCTTCCTCCTCCTCCTCCCCCTGGACTCACCGCCGACGTCTGCTCGAGCTCAGCCGCGCGCGTTCGGCGCTGCCCCGTGCGCCGCCGAGGGCGACCCCGGCGGCGCGGGAGGCCCGCGCCCCTTGCGGCGAAGCGCCATCGAGATGGCGCCCGCCAAGCTCCCGGGGCTGCGCACCGCGCCGTCGCCCTCGGTGCACACCGCTGCGGGCGCCGCGGGCGCCGCGGGCGCCGCCGGCTCGAGGCGGTGCCATTCGCGGCTGCCGGCCTGACCGCTCCAACCTTCGTCGAGGTACGGGCGGCGCGGCCTCACGCCCGGCTCCCAAGGCGAACGCGCGGGCCACTTGGCGGCGACGGCGGCGGCCTTCTGCTCCCAGTACGCCGCGGACCTGAGGCGCCTGGGGGGGCGAGGGCGCGGGTCGGCGAGGGACGCCGCCTCGAGGAGCGCCAGCTCGTCGCCGTCCTTCGGCATCGCGGTGGCGCCCCGGCTCGTCTCGTGCGCGTTGGCGTCCTGGCCGTCGTCGACGGAGTCGGAGAAGGCGACCAGCTCTTCGGTTGGAAGCTGATCCCGTCCGGCTCAGCGCGCGCCACCTTCCCCGTCCCTTGCTCGGCGAGAGCCGCCCCACCATCCTGAAACATGGCGCAGAACATGGCGGCGGGGAGCCGTTCAGACAGGAATCAGACACGATATCAAACTGGACACCTCCACTGGGCAAAACAAATGGCTTGAGCCAAAATGGCTACGGACCCCTCTTGTTGGGGCCTTCTTGGGACCCTCTTGCGCCGTCTTGGGCGGCTCTGGGGCCGTCTCTGGGCTCTCTCGGGCCGTCTTGGGGCCCTCTTGGGGGCCTCTTGGGCCGTCTTGGAGCGGTTTGGGGAGACTCTTGGGCGGTGCTTCAGCGCCGGAAACACGAAACAGCGAGAATGCAAAACAAAAACATCTTTTTAAACAAAAATGAAAATCAACGATTTTGCCCCTCTCGGGGCGCTCGTCGGCGGCATCTTAAAGACCTCTTGGGGCGTCATGGGGGCCTCCGGGGCAATTTAAACGCATCGTGCGTCGACGGAAACCCCTGGACGTCGTCTTGGGGGTGTCTCGAGACCGCCTGGGGCCGCCGGGATTGCTGTCTGAGGGCTCGCTGGGGCGATTTTAAGCCTCCCAAGGGCGGGCCCGGGCCCCGGGCCACACATTTGTGGTTGGGGTCCCGGCCCCCGGCCCCCGGCCCCAGTCCCCCGTTACATGTATATATATAACACATTCCCATGTATATGATTCTATTACCCGGACCCCCCCCTCCGAAATCGGACCCCCCAAATCCCGGGCCCCCAGGACCCTCTGGACCCCCCAGATGCGTGGCCCCGAGGACCCACTGGACGCCCCTGCAGGAAGCCCTCCAGGCGTCTCAGAGCTCCTGGGCCTAGGCAACGGGCCCAAATCGGTCAGGAGGGCGGCCGAACGCCCCCCCGAGGGCCCCAAGAGGCCCCATACACCCACCAGACCTCCGAAGACGACCCAAGGAAGACCCCCAAGAGGTTTCCAAAACGTAGAAAATTCTGATTTCCCAAAAAGTTGTTACATAATTTTGGGAATGCCCTGTTCTTCGATCTTCTGGGCGTCCGAGATTACCTGGGAGGCTCGAAAATCATCCCGAAATCATCCGAAAGGGCTTCCAGGCAGTCCAAGAGAGCCCCAAGACGGCACAACTGGGTTCCAAGATGGCCTAATAGAGCCCCATGGCAGCCCAAGATGGCCTCAAGACACCCTCCGAAGCATTCCAAATCGTGACCTGGTCGTTCAGGGAAACCGCGGTTGGAGGCAGGGCGGCCCGAGGAAGCCCCCAGAGGCCCCCAGAAGACGCCCAGGAGGCCTCCAGAAGGCCTTCAGAAAGCCTGAAAAACTTGTGCGAGGCCCCAGGAGGCCCTCCAGGGAGGACCGTCCGCAAAAAGAGCTGAGGAGTATGGGGAATTAATCTGCATGGTATGACTAAAATGAAGAAAAAGAAGCATGGAGGAAGGATAACGAAGAATATTATTACGGCGATGCCAGAAAAGTAACAAGGATGTATCGCTAAATTGTCTGTTTGACCTTCCTGCCATTCCGCCTGCACACCAAACTTACAGGGTCAAGGTGCACGGCGCGAAGCGCCAATGCAGTCTTATGTGTATATATATATATGTGTATAGATTGCTCTGCGAATGCTCTTAAACGGGACCCCCCTCGCACATCCATTCGGACCCGGGCGCTCCCATCGCCCGGGCGGGCCCCAAATCGCTTCCCGGATGGTCCCACCGGAACGGCCCAAGACCGCTTCAAGAACAACCTGAGAGGGGCCCGAGAGCACTAAGAGGCCCCGAAGCGGCCAAATACGGCCTCAAGGCGGCTCGCGAGGCTACCCCAAACGCCCCCGAATGCCCCAAAAGAACCCCCGAGAGGGCTTGAGGAGGCAACAGTCACTGATTTCCCGTAAGGGTTTGAAAGGTGTTGGGATTTTTGCTTCTTCGGGCAAAAAACGGCCCAAGACGGCTCTGACGGCCTGGCCAGGAGGCCCCCCAAATCGCCTCTAGGCCCCAGAGGGTCCATGACAGCCCCAAAGGGCCCCAAGACCGCCCAAGAGGCCCCCAACACAGCCCGAAAGGGCCCCACAAGACCCCCAAGGGGGCCTCCAGTAGAGGCCCAAGACGGCCAAAGCCCGGCAAGACAGCCCAGAAGGGCCCCAGGACGGCTCAAGAGGGCTGTAGAACCATTCGAAAGGGCCCCAAGAGGAAACATGTGCATTTCCGAGGCCTCAAGTAGGCTTGCCAGAAGCTTCCAAGTACACTTGCTCGGGTGTTCGGGTGAGGCGGTCGGAAGTTAGTGTTTGGGAGTCATGGTGTTCAGGTTTGGGTGTTCAGGTTTGGGTATTCGGATTCGGGTGTCCGGGTGAGGGTGCTCGAGCTGGGGTGTTTGAGCTCCGGTTGGGATGTCAGGCTTAACGTTTACGCTACGGTATGAGGGTTCTGGCCTTTTTTTGCTCTGTGTACCGCCCTTCAGGTTGGGATGTTCGGCCCCACGAGAGCCCCAAATGTCCCCCTAACAGGGCTGGATGTCAAAATCAGTGGATGTTCATGCGTGTTCGTATAGCTGTTTGACACACATTTTGTTTGTGCTCGCTGTTTTTCCACGACGAAAGTGGCTCTTCAGAAGAGCCCTAAAACCGCCCAAGAAGATCTCCGGACTGCCCCCAAAAAGGGTCCGCAGGACGCCTCAAGACGGCCCAAAGAAGGGCACCCATCGAATTGACATTTCGAGCCCTCTCCCCAAGGATGGTCATGGACACTGCCACGGAGCCCCCTGAGACGCCATCAAGGCCCCCAGAGGCCCAAGAGGTCCTCATGACGCCCTCAAAGCTCCCAAAACGCTCTCAAGAGCCCCCCCCGGAAGCCCAACAAACTCTATCACCCCTTATGAGCTTGATGCGCCATATGGCCCTGTATTCTGATCAACCTCGTGAACTTCACAACCCCTACGAACCCCATGATCCTGATGACCTCTTATGAGCCCTGCCACACCTACGAACCCTATGAGCCGTACGAGCCCCATGAGCCCTACGAGGCCTACGAGCCCTACGCCCCTCCCCGAGACCCCCGAAATCCTCCCCTGTGAGCCCCTATCAGCCCTACGAAACCATGAGTCCAATGAGCTCCTGAGCCCTACGTTACCTATGAGCCCGACGGCCCTTACGAGACCTTCGAGCCCTACTAATCCTACGACCCAGTCAACGCTACGAGCCCTCTGAGCCCCTTATCAGCCCCATTTGCCCTATGAGCCCTACGACCTCTACGCACCACATAAGATCACGAGCCCAATGCGCCCTGTGACCCTATACTCCTCACGATCTCATGCGCCTTCCAACCACTACGAGCGCCATGATCCGAATGAACTCATGAGCCTTCGACCCCTCCGAGCCCTATCTCCCCTACGAACCCTACGAGACCACTGAGTCAAGTGTGCCCTCCAAGGGGCCCCCCAGACAACTCCCCTAGGAGCTCACTAGCGACCTTGCTCCCGAGCGTCTGGTGGACGCGGCACCATCAGCCTACATGAGCTTGACGGGCCCGCCGAGCCCTGCGAGCACATCGACGCCCTCAGTGCCGCGAGACCGATGGCCCCCATGAGCCCTCGTGGCCACTATGAGCCCCATGAGCCCTGTGGCCCCGATGAGCCCGATGCGCCCTCCGAACCCCATAAGCCCTATGACCCCTATGAGCCGTGCGAGCTGCATGACCCCGATAGGCCCTATGAACCCTATGAGCTTTATGGGTCCTCTGAGCCCCATGTCGCCTGTGAGCCTCATAAGCCCTGCGAGCCATTTGAGCTCTGTCAGCCCCACGGGCCCCACGAGCCGCATGACCCCAAGGAGCCTCCGCAGCCCTATGAGCCGTATGAGCCCCATGGGCCATATGAGCCCCATGACCCCCAACACCCGCTATGAAACCTATGAGCCTTATGGACACGTTGGACACAGTGACCTCTATGAACCCCATGAACCTCAGAAGCTCGATGAGCCCGCCCGCTATGGGGCCCGAGAGCCCGTGACTTCTGTTTGGCCAAGGCCCCTGCGAGCCCCAGAACCCTCATGAGCTCATCGGCCCGAGGAACCCTATGCACTCAATCACACCTGCGGGCCGTCGGAGCCTCATGATCCCCATGAGCCGCGCTGGCTGAATTACCCCTCTTCCCATTTGAGGCTCCGAGCCTCTGAGACCAAATGGCGGCGGAGAGGCCTCTGAGCCCGCTGACCCTGCAGAGCCCATGGGTCCTGTCAGCCTCGCGTGACCCATGGACCCTGGAGAGGAAGCGCATCGCGGTGCTGGCGTGTACCTGTCGCGGCGGGCCGCTCTAGCGCCATGCGATCCAGATTTCTGAGGTGAAGCGAAGCGAGACGGTGAGATCTGGTGTTGCCGGCCCCAGGGGGCCCAAAGACGGTCCAGGAGGCACCCAGGACGGCCAGGAGGCCCCGAGGGGAACCCCAGAGCGCGCCCCGCAGGGGCAGGACGCATCGAGAGGGGGCGTTCGGAGCCCTTCGCCCAGAGATCGCCCCACTGCCTCCGCGCGTGCCCCCCAGGAGCTCCCCCGCGAGGCCTCGAGGGCTCTCCCCGAGAGGCGCGCAAGCTGCTCCAAGAGGCCCCCAAGACGCCCCAAGCGGCCCAAAATGCTCCTCCAGTGCTGGGCTTCTCTCCACACGGTGCTTGCACTGACAGGGTAGCTTTTAATACATAGGATTCTTGAACATATAGGATGTTTCATACATGGTTAATGTATGAATAAATGTATGCATGAACTCATCGTTGCTGTTAATACTAAATCCCTGCATTTTTAATACATGATCCGCACGCGGAGCATGTATTAAAAACGGCACTGTAGGGGCTCCTGCTTCGGGTTGACGGAGATGTAACACGGTTTCGCCTGGTGGCCAGTTGGTGGCTGGTTGA